TGAAAGCATTTGCTGATAAACTCTGAGGCAGGAAGCTTGAACTTTTTATGGTTAGACAGTTTCGTCTGAGGATTCGAGAACATTTAACAGCTTGGTTGAGTGGGAGGTGGGGAATCAAATGCATAAAAAGTTCGGTCTTATCACACTTGGTCGATACAAGACATAGCTTTGACGCTAGCATAGTCTTCAGGGTTATATATCACACTACGAAATCATTGTCACCCACACTTCGCCCTCGTCTTCTACATACAGCTGAAGCTGTTGCAGTAAGAATCACTGGAATTTTCTATTAACAAAAAACATTTTCAGGCTCCGTTGCTGCCCTGTCCGAAATTGGATTAAAATTTCTTCTCCCCACCAACAGTGCCTTTTCCTCTTATCTCTTTTCCTTCTGTTTTTATGTATATTATTTTTTTGTTTCGTTTTATCTTATTTCTAACAGTTTCGGCGATAATGTTTTATAATTTGTGCCCTTCATTCTAGCATTTTTTCAACGCTGTGGAATTTCCCACTTATACTGTTCTGATTTATTAATGATATTATCTGTTTTCCCAGTATGACTCTGCCTATTCCACTACACATTTTGCTTATTTCACGATGAACTATTCACAGCAGTCTTAATTATCTCCCCTTTAATGCATACCACTTTCTATTAGCAGCTCACCAAACATCTCTCACACCTCGAACTGACTTGTCAATTTTCCTTCCCCACACTGAATGAAACTAATATATAACCAGTCATTTTGCTTTTAATTCAATTTTGATTTTTTCATTGATTGATTGGACCGAAGTGTTCGGCTTCAGTTGACACGTCGGCTATTAGAACAGATACTTCAACGATGCCTGATGATTAATTTAAAGTAATTTGGTGAAAAGTGACTAGCAGTGGAAGCCAGGATGCGCATTTCTCCGTATATGGCACTCGTCAGCTGGATGTACCCGCATGTACGTACAGACGCTTTGGCATTCGAAACAATAATAATATTTTGCTTTATTCCAAAACAGTACTTGTGATACAGAATGGAATTCTCAGCGTATTTACTACAGTATTGCATCCAGTTAGTACATTATCAATAAATAAAATTCTACATAGATTAAGGGAATCTCAGTTCATTATGACAACAACATATCGGCATGTCGGTAGCAAAGCCAAAGCTGAACAGTGTTTGAAGGTGTTAGAAAAGTAGGTGCTGTCATATTTACTGGCGTAAGCGGAAGAGAGAAACAAAGCAGCACATAACGGAAAAAAGAGAGAGAGAAAAGGAAAAGAAAGAAAGAAAATGTCGTACCTATAAATGATATGAGTTGGAAAGACGAGGTCCAGTTGTTCTACTGACTATTTAATGAATTATAGGTGTCACGCCTGATGCTTTCTTTATCGCACAGAACACGAGCTAAGTAGGGTATGGTTGAGTTTCTGTACTTGCTGGTGCGAGCATATAGTTTTCTATATAGGCTTCTGGTTTTACCTGATGAGATACAAGGGGAGAGTTGTGAGTGAAGAGGGTGATGTGAGTTAGATAAAATGGATTTAGCCCATTTTTCACATGAGTCCATGTGCCTGTCGACCAGAATATTAACAAGCTGGTTAAGTGGCACGTTGCTTACCCTGCTGACAACCTTTAACATCCTGCGTAATATGTTATAGTCTTTCTTCAGTAGTCCGGGAAAAACTAAGGGGGAGCAATAGAGAATAATAGGCAGAATGCGAGAGTTAACGAACTGTAGGAGTAAGGGTTGGGTTATACCAGAATGTTTTAACTTCTTGATGTAGAAGGTGAGACGGAATATTTTCTTAGAAATCGCCAAGATATGAGACGACCAGGAGAGATCAGCAGATAGAATGACACCTAGGTATTTAATTTCCCACTTGGTTTCTATTTCAGTGCCATCTATGTTGCACACCTCGTGAGAGCCAACCAGTTTGTTTAGGTCGGATTTATGCCTAAAGGTGAAACTGACTGTTTGGCATTTGGAGGGGTTTAAGGTAAGACCGTTTTCCTTGGACCACTGGCTGATTTCTGACAGAAAGCCATTAAGTTTAGAGCAGTCACTCTGACATTTGACAGGCAAAGATACTGTCAGGTCGTCAGCACATTTGACAAAATTAATGTCATTTGAAGATGGTAAGTCATGTAGAAATAAAGAAAAGAGAAGTGGGGAGAGTACAGCACCTTGGGGGACACCAGCTTCAGTGGGCGCAGCAGAAGAAGATTTACCTTTGTATACGGTGTACTGCATTCTGTTAGAGAAGTAGGAATGCAGCCAGTTAGTGACCCAGGACTCAGTTTTTGTCATAGAGAGCTTATTTAGCAAGAGACATCTAGGTACAGAGTCGAAAGCAGAAGTGAAGTCGAGAAACGTGCAGCGGACGTATTTGGCACCTTTATTTAATGATGAGACGATGCTGTTGTGTAAGACGGCTGCAGCGTCTAAAGTGCTCCTACCCTGTCTATAGGCAAATTGTTTGGGGTCTTCAAAGTTTTTAAGGGAGGGTTCAAGTTTAAGAAGTACTAGTTTTTCCATAAGCTTTAGAAACGGGGAAGTGATGGCAATGGGTCTGAACTTTACGTTCTTGCTGTTTCCAGGTTTAGGGACAGGGACTATTTTAATGTCTTTCCATGCATCAGGTACGACATTTTTGGAGAAAGAAGCATTTAGGATGTTAGTTAGTGGAGAACACAACACATCTGCACATTGTTTTAGAACATATGCAGGTATACCATCAGGGCCAAGGCTACGTGAGGGCTTGGGCGTTTTAAGACATTTTAGAACATCGAGAGCATTAAAGTCATGAAAGTTATCAGCTACATGATTGGTAACATTAGAAGTAGTTATAGTAGAAGGACAGCGTATAAAAGACTGATTAAGAGCATTAACATCATAAGAGGGAAAAGCATTACAACGCTTACTATTGCCAGTAATTTCATTAAAAAGTTTCCACATGCTGATAGGAGATTTGCATGATAAAAGTGTATCATTGTAGATAGCATTAGGATTTTTGATTTCAGATTTGATTTGAGCACTAATCTTTTTGAGTCCTAACTTATCTTTGGATTTGTATAATGTTTCTTTTTGTCTGCGAAGTTGCTTGACATAAGGAGATGAGAAGCGGTCGAGGCGTTTGAATAGTGTTTGTTTGGGACAGCATATATCAAGGCAGAACTTAAGATAATCCGTTATATTGACAATTGTGTCATCTAATGAACTTTCATGGAATAAATCCCAGTTAGTATTTTTTAACATGCACCTTAGATTGAGTAAGTTGTCAGATGAGTAGCATCTTTGTAGTGCTTTCATAGACAGATGTGAGAAGACTTTAATATGTGTTTTGCTGTATATTTTTGGTAAAATACGAACAATAGAGTGATCAGAGTTAAGTATCGGTGCACGTTTACGTGTTTCATATATTCCTTCGTCATTTGTGAAAACTAAATCGAGTGTTTTGTCAAGTCGAGTGGAAAATTTGACTATGTCTGTGTGACCAAGTGCTTCAAGGAAAGAGCAATCTGACGAGTTGAAGTCCCCAGTAATAACAGATAGAGAGTTGTCGAAGTTGGCAGCGGCAAACATGGTGAATTCGTCAGCAAAATTTGAAAGATTAGATAGTGAGTAACTGGGAGAAATGTACATGTTTGTAACAAAGATATGTTTATATTTGGGTAGTTGTAGTATCAGTGTAAACATCACCACTCACCAGGGAATGCACGTACACCCAGATGACGAGTCCAAAATACGACGAAATGCGCATCCTTGATTCCACTCCTAGTCACCATTCACCAGATTATATTATGATTAATAAAGACCGTCATCTCACACTTCACAATATTTTGCAGTTCAATTCAGTTCAACAAGTTTACCACATAAATACTATTTATTCTGTCACTCTACTATAACTAATCTTTCTAGTTTGACCACGGATTGATATCAGTCAGAGGACCATTGAAAACCAGGGAGTAATGGACAGCCGTTTCGTACTAGTTTGAGACTCATCGACAGTACTGAATTTCAAACCCATTACCTTCCGGTTACAAGGCAAGCTCGTATACCATTCAGTCACTGGGACCCGATTCAATGGCCCATGAATTTTAACTTCTACCAACTAATCTGTTATTCTGCGTAGAAGTGTATCCGCCGCATAAATGAATATTCCTGTAACGATAAATGCTATATTTTATAATCATAAGAACCTGGAGAGAATTTATTGTAAAGAATATTCTTCGTTCACGTTCCTAAATCGTATCGAAGGGTATTTTCGTTCCTTATCTGCTTCATAATTAATTACTTGATACCTCTATTATCATCAGAATTTCTGTAATGTTTTAGAAAAAATTTCGAATTAGATTGAAGCAAGAGCTGATTTTCCTTTTATTCTACCCTTTTGATATCCATTTCGGCTTTAATCATGGTGTCTACTTTGAGCAAAATACGGAAGCTACAGAATACTGGGAATTCCATGGCGTCATTCGTTACAGGATGATTTTTTTTGCTATCGCACACATAACCCGCTGTTTACACAACGTTTTATATCTTTACTTTGTATGTATTGTTTTCTTTCATGCATCTACCCTATTTCTGTAGAGAATGTTGAGAATTATTTGTTATATTGAAACTTAAAATGTCGCACTATATAATATAGCATTATATGTTCACTGGTTTCTGTAATCGTCAGCATCACTAATTGAAGAGTTTTCAAAACTAAATATGTCAGTAAAATAATTTCTGTACTGATTTACTATTCAGTCTGTGCTTCCAAATGAAGATAAACTCGACTAACATTGGCATTTTGCGACTGGAGAAACCAAAAATAATTTTCCTTGCAGTGTTTTTCTTCACTATGTAAATGCATATAAGACACTAAATGCTGTTTTTTTTTTTGGTTTTTAAGCAGACAATTGCGAATAAGTTGTTAAAGTTGTTCCATAATTCTTAATTTATATATTTATGCCTATAAGCTGCCTAGAGTCGTCTATGCAGCTTGGTTTCTTAGCATCACTGAGTCTACTAGAAGAATGTCAAAAGAGATTATGTTGTATATGTGTATTGAAATATTTTCGACATACTAGGAGAAATATTTATTGTGTGTGTTTGTTTGTTTTTTCTTCTGTTTTGAAGATTAACCAGATGTATAGATAGATTCCCTTTCTAGATAAGCAAGTACACCTGAAAAGTGCAAACTTCAGTTTGCAAAAAATCTAAACATAGAAACAATAACAAGAAAAGGAAAGAAGAAGAAGAAAAAAAGTTTATAATTTCTACTTTATTCTTTTTAATCAAAACAACACTAAATGCTATGCATCATTTTCAGAAATGAAATAAATCTGCATTTCCAATGATTAGTGGATGGAATATATACTTCACTGCATACACTAATATACATATACATATATATATGAGTGAGCAGTATACTCTAGACTTGAAATTTTCACTTGTTTGTTGAATTGAAAATTGAACAAGTATTAATGAACAACTTGATGACTAGCATCAAAATAATAATAATAATAATAAAGAAGTAGAAAAGGAAAGTGACCAAGTAAAGAAGGAAAGATGGGGCAAAAAATAATAATAATAATAGTAAAGGGATGACGTGTATTTTCTCTCTAACTGTTCCCTGATAACAATTTTGGCTTTTTGTTCTTTATTTATTATTTTTTTGGAAAGACTTTAACTGTTTTTCATTTTCGAAATCAAAAAAGAAAGGAGAAAAGAGAAAAAGAGGAACGAGCACAACACGAAGCGTGTGTTTGTGTGAATATTTGTGATTTACAAAATTGATTCAGCTATCAACACTTTTAGCATGAGTTCATTTAAGAGTTTTTATTACAACAAACAATACACTAGTACGGCGGTTAGTTATCATTACTAGTTTACCATTACTGAAACCAAACTAAGTGTATTATGTTGGAATGAAGGAGAGACAGAGAGTGTGTGTATGTGTGTGTGTGATTGTTAGAAAAGGAGAAAATACACCAAAATGTGAAGAGAACTGATTGATACAGACATTGTAAGAAGTTAAGTACAACAATATATCTATTTTATCTACAATTATTCTTCCTCGAAAGTTGGCTCACAGTTATCTATCATTTCGATCTGTTTTGAAAAATCACAAGATGTAGTAGTACACTGTAGAAGTGTGATTAATAATCGCTTACACTGTATACACAGAAATAAGGAAAGCTAAAGTTTCTCTTTTCTTTTCTTTTTTAAGCATACACAATAGAAGACAGACAGAGTTGAAGTATTCACCTAATTAATGAGACTATATATATGGTCATCAATTTATAATCTGTATCATTTTGTTGTTAGTCAACAATCTGATTGGTGTTTTTCCTTCTCTTTTTTGATGAGAATGAATTAGTGGATTAGAGGGGACACACTAATGCCACTGAAATAATGAAGTGAGTAGTGAAATTTCACAGTCTATTAAGTGCAAGAAAAAAAGGGAGAGAGAGAGAGAGAGAAAAGAATTATATCATTTTTGTGCGCTCAAAACAAGTCATACGGTGTTTTGTGTGGACTGCACTGCAGAAATATTTGATACACTAATAAAGATAAGGATGTATTGAGCTAACATAGTCTCACACTAACACTATTTGCAATTGTTGGAATGTTAGGTTTCATAGCTTTTCTTTGTTTGTTTTTTATTGTATACGAATTGAAAAACACATGGAAAAATTGGCAGAACTTAATTCAGCTATAGAGTAGTGACTAAACCCATGTAGTGTTGTTTGCACCATTGAATGATGAATTTATGTTGAATGTCCTCGTCAAAGTAAGCTGCCACCTGAAGAAAATTTAGAAACAACTACATTAAAATTCATACTTAGATGAATAATAAATAAGGTATTGATGGTATATAGTGGAAATGAATAGAAATGAAATGTTCCGTATTGAAATTTCAAGATAAACACTGTTTTTATGCTTTTGTCTTCCTCGTGTAACACAGTTAATCTATGAGACCCCCTTGTTTTAATCTCCAGACGTCACCTTTCGTATTCCTACGGATGATGCCTAACTGCTAAACCAAGCACCATAACTAAAGTGACAGTGAATGGTTATGTGAGACACTAATTTTCTTCACTATTGTAATCACACGCTCAGTGATTAGTTAACGAATATAAACTGTAGATATATAAACAGCGGTTTGACCAATGGAAAATATACCTTGGCTTCTGTGTCTTGCCTTCTGTTGTTACATTTGGTGTTGCTGCCTGCCGATAAAGGGAAAGCCTATGCCCTGCAGTTTTTGATGGAGACATATAAATCTTCAGGCAGGACTTCGAGGTTGTTGCGCAGTTGAGTAGCGTTCAAGATCCGACAGCGATGAGGCTGTTAATTAGAAAGCGAACATGAGCCACGGTCATGCAAACTACTCCCGAAGCGGGAAGGACCATACATAGTCACCGTGAAACGGGGTCACATATGTACGATCAGAAATGCGAACAAAGAAGAGCAGGTGAGATCCAAAACTCGATACAGCAAGACAAACTAACAAAGCCGTCAGCACCAAGAAGATCCAACCGGCTTCAGTCGAAAGTTTTTGACGGAAGGACGAGTGTGGTGGTGTGATACAAACAATGTGTGCCAACGAAATGTTATTCTCACATATTCCCACAGTTCAATTCGGCATTAACATATATCTATTTGAACATTCTACTTGATGTTAGAGACAGAATACATTTCCCACGGTTATATACTTCATTAACAAAAGAATACTATATATATTTGAACATTCTGTTTCATGTCATTTGATGTAAATCAAAATCACACACTGAGTGATTGGTTGAAGAATATAAACTGTATATACATAAACAGCGGTTTGATCAGTGGGAAATATACATTGGCTTCCGTGTCTTGCCTAATAGAACACCTCGTCAACACTGGTCATTCCATCTCAACAAACGCCTCCTTCAAAGTAATCTACAAAGTGAAGAACAACCTTCCAAAGACAGTACGATTCCGTCTTCTTTGCATCGCAGAAACCCTAGCCATTAAGCTAGAAGAACCAGAACTGTGCATACAAAAGAAAATTATTCAACCACTTCTACTCCCATGGTAACAACTGTGTTGATTCGACTTAACTTTTCTTTGTTTGTTTGTTTGATTTGACTTAACTTTTGTTTGTTTGCTTATTTTTGTACTTAAAACCCTTGTGTAATTCCGTATGTTATTTTGTTTCTGCGTACACCCTGAGTAAAACTCTTTCATTAAACTATTCATGTTATTACACAACTCTTCTTTAACAATCGATCGTGACAACTCATCACTTTTGTTACTACTCTCTTATATCAACATCTAATTCATCTGAACTTACTAATTGTATTTTCGTTTGACAAATTTAATGTACACACACATACAAAGCAACCATATATATTTGCGATTGTACAGCTATGAGAATGAATTCGCCGAAAAAAGACTCTTCGCTGAACTACTTGTCTTCTGTCTATTAATATTCGAATGGGAATTTTTCATGAATTAGAGATGTGTGTTTGTTGGCTTCTTTGGTAGCAGTATTTATAGATGAGATGCCGGTGGTGATGCCGGTGATCCGGCAGTCATTCGGTGTGTTCAAATGAGCATTTCCTTTCTTCTACCTCTCTGATAATTGCCTTCCCCTCACTGTCTTTCACTGGTTTCATCTGAATTGATTGCTCCCAGGACAGAGGCCTTGTTACTTGATAGAGTATAGTGAGGTCATTCTTACTTATGGTCTGTTATGCTTCACTCTCCAATGTGTCGTAAGATTATCTTTTGCCCTTCCTAGCATTCTTCTTTACTTTTTTGTTCAGTGCTCTGTAAATGACACTCGGATACTCCTGCCGATGGTGACTTTCTGGTTTGCTGGGTATACCATACTTTCTCTTAAAAGCTTAGTGTGGTGATGTAAAATAAAAAGAGTGATCAGAACAGTAGGAAGTAAATTTATTAATTTCTGAGGTACATTGCTCGGATGTCACATGTAGTTTATGTCTTATTTGAAGAGGTTTCATCAATGAATCATAGCGTGGATTTTCGCCTTTTTCTTCACATATTCCAATATTAAGGCAAGTAATATATGTCCAAACCAAGTTCACTTTTAACGGTTTGAAAAAATTTGGGCATCGGGTATATGATATTAAGGCAAGTAACTTTTAGAGAAATAGTATTCTTCTTGATTTTTTATTTAGAATTATGATAGTGTGAATATCTTGAGAAAACCTGCCAAGTTTTCATACAGATTAATTATGTAACTTATATCTGTTTGTTAAAACCGCACATTTCACTAAGCCCGAATATGTTAGACCAGTTGTGTAACATTTAAAACCATGAATAATAAGTATACAGTGTAGGCACTTACTTTCCTGATATGATTCATCTCTTCATTTGACATGGATCATTGAAAAGAAACGTTGCAGAATTGGGTATAGCGATCTGATTTCTTAACCTACCCACTTTGAGGATGACTTTGCAAGGAGCAGCCTGAAATAAAAGTAAATTACTTGTTTAGTAAATAAAACTTTGGATTTTGTAAAAGACTTACTTTGACCATTAGTTAAACTGCTATATTAACTTATTTCAAATTGAATTTACGTTTGGTATTAAAGGTCCGCAGATATGCACTTTAATACCTACTTATTGCTGTTGGTTACTTCGTTACTGATGGGTTGGCTATCAGAAGATTTTTTAACTGAATTCTTTTTCTGTACGTCTTGAGATCATCGTACACTGTTAAACTATTTTGCTGGTAAAGTCATGTTATCTAAGGTGGAAAATATGCATGTACAACAAAACAATACTAGCTAACAGTCTAAATGATCGGTATGTTATTCGAAATGATGGACCAAGCATAACGTTTGTTTTTCTTAAGACAAGTGTACAAAGAAATATGTTTTCATTGGGGAGTAGGGTGCAGCAGGTTGAAGGTGAGGCAGTAACTCATCGGAGAAGACACTGTAAAGTGGTAGCGATACGTCATGAATTGGAAGAAGTTAGAATTCATGGGCTGGCCACTGGATCGGGTCCCAGTGGCTTAATGGTCGTCTACGAGCTCACTAGCCTTGTAAATAGAAGGTCCTGGGTTCGAACCCTGGCGGTGGGTGGGTGCTGATGAAGAGTCCCAAACTAGGACGGAACGGATACCCAGTACTCCCTGTTGGTTTTCCAATGATTCTCTAACTGATGTCAGTTCATGATGAAATCCTCCAACCAATCAAACTGAATCCCTACAAAAATCAATACTTGAAAATTCGTCTGATGCTCACTAGCGACTGGCCCTATTCAGGCAGTGGCCTGGGGTTCTCGTGAGAAGCCGTGACCAGTAGGGTGCAGAAGTAGTATTGTTTACAGATTTTTTCAAAAACTTTTTTAATAATGATAGTTTAATTCTATGCAATGATGTATGCACATGGTAGTAATTTCAAAGGTAAATGGTAAAATGTATATTTTCGCGTATTGCCGTTTTTAAGTAGTGTATAATGAAAGAATTATGTTGCATTAAGACAGGTATCATATTAGATGATTACATGAAATATAAGAATAACCTGCCTTTAACAAAGCACCGACTATTTCACTGCTAAGGCCTCTTGTGTTTCTTCCATTCACCTCGAGGATTTGATCATTTGGCATAAGGCGACCATCCGTTGCTGCCAATGAACCTTTTATCTAGTGTATAATAAAGTGATCAGAAAAACTTTGTTGTCTTGACCTATAAATGCATAGTAAAATTCTTCTGATTACCAGCAACACAAATAATACTTTTAGTATTTTCCATTTATTTTTGTATAATGGTCATTAAACAAAAAGGCAACAACTGTAACAGATGCATTAGTCTTAAGCAGAAAGAGAAACATGACTTTTACATTAACAGAATCACATAAATGATACGGAAAAAAACAACAAAAGATAATATACTTTGTTGTTTTGGATAATGTATTTTAATCATATAATTCGATCAGTTTTAATTCCAGATCATACACATTGCGTAATAAAGTAACAAGTTAAGAATTCCAAGGCTTTTAATGTAAACATCGGTCGTAGAATAACTCTATGTACATGGATGTATAATATTCGAACATATGTGTGTTTTGTATTTATTATGAAGTTTACTTAGAGCAACCTATCATACCATCTTTTACTGACCGAATGTGAACATTTTTAGATCACTTAACAAATGGAATAAAATTAATATATTTCATTGTTGTACGTGCTGTTTTTGAAAAGGAAGTGAAGTTTTTCGCGTTCTTTACGAAACTTCGTTTATTTTGTTATGTTCATTCCAGCGTAAATTATTAGAGTACCTGGACTTCATATTAATCAGTTAGAATTGGTGTTTCGTTAAAATCTTATATACAAGTTCAGCAAAGCCAGATTGGTTTTGAGAGGACGGATTTAGGAGGAAAGAAATGCTGGCTGAACGGCAAATTAGGCCCAGAGACGAGGAGACTAGTCTGAAACTTGTAGGTTTTCAAATAGCCTGATTTTGAAATCGAGTACTTTCAAGACATCTGTGTGCGTAAACCAGACCTTATAAAAAACCATGAGATAATTTATACCAATATAATCAGAATCGGTAATAAATTCCATGAATTAGGTGTATTAGTGAGTGAGTTGAGTTCAGCCATCGGGACTATTATCGAAACACTTGTCTGCGGTTTGAATGAGACGCCTGGGCTGCGAGGATTTAACTGTCAGTGTACTGACAGACTAAGTGGTTTCAAGGGAGGTGGAATAGTTCTTTACGTTAATAAATTCTTCAATATCCCTCTCCGAGAATCTACGGCGTATGACAGTGGATCATATGAAATGGTCACTCATGAGCTATACCGTGATCCGAATTGTCAATGTGATGACTTCCTACTAGAGCAGATTAAACAATGGAGTAGATTTAACAACTGTACTACTCTAGGTGACTTGAATGCATCCCATGTTACTGGGCAGATCTTTCTTCCCTGTGATCCATTAATATGCTTGAAAACAGATTACTCCTGGCTTTCATAGATGATGCCTTGATGCTGCATGTCTTAGGTGACACACGATTTGATCCTACACAACACTTTACCGTGCCTGAAATAATTCTGACGTATTAAACAGGTGACGTTAATAGTCTAGTTATTCATTTCCCTCTACTTATTGTCTAACATTTAGCCTTGTAATTTGTTTTGGGTCGGCCTCTGATACTGCGGCTATTAGGAAAAGTGCTTCAACTGTTGACTGACTAGCCAATACAACTAGCTATGAACTTACAGGGCTGTCTCCAAAGGTTTTTTCGGTATCTGAAGAGAACAACTTGGAGAAGTGACGCTATCCCCACTCTCCTAGTGGATGTCCAACAATTTTGAGAAAAACCGAGGCTACGTCAAGTTATTTCAGCCAGGTGTTCTCCGACAAGATTAGTGTACCTGCATTAAATTTTCCGGAAACGGATCTAGGAATAGGAACTCTACACATTAAGGAGGAAGCCATCCTAAAATCTCTATTATGTCTAAATTATGATAAGTTTAGTGGTTCTGATGAACTTCGTCCACGAAAATTATCTGCGCTGTACTAAACCATAGACGGACTATCGTCAATGCTGTTCAGTGTGTCACTGAGCGAGTCTAAATCTCCAAGAGATTAGAATGCGGCCATCATCATTCCGGTCTTCGAAACCGAACCTAGAAATCGGGTTAAGAATAATCATTCCATTAGTCTAACTAGGATTTTAGTTAAACTAATCGAGAAAATTAACCGTGATACTGTTATTCAGCTTACTGAGGGTATTAAACTGTTAGTGTTTAAGTCAAGCCATTCTTACTTGACTAAACATTTTCGGTATGGACAAATGCTGCACAAACGGGAGGATGTTATATTCCTAGACCCTAGCAAGGCCTTAGATACAATATCTGAAGATGCTTTAGTATATTGTGGCATCTGTATAAGGCCCGTATAGTTTTGAACGTTATCTTTCGTGCATTATACCCAACCTATATCATACCTCATATGAAATATGGGATCCAGGTAGCTGACCCTTATTTCAAATATGAAGCAGAAAAGGTGTAAAGGATGGGGACAAAATTGATTAAGGCATTCTCAAACCTTTCATATAAGGAGAGAGTTCAATCTTATTTATTCCTACTTTCATATCAGCAATTGAGGAGTGAACTCATTTTAGCATTCCAAATTTTCAGTGGTTATTTAGGTGGTAATTTATGCCCTCTACTTCTCCGCTACTCAAATGACTATTTAATAAGACTTCACCTTAAAGTTCAGAAACCACGGTTGAATCGTCCACGTCTGGAAGTTCGTTTCACGCATGAAATTGTGAACTATTGGAATCCTCTGCCACATCACATCGTATCGGTGTCTTCTGTTGATTCACTCAGAGCAAGACTGAACCTCCCCTGCACTGCAAATCAAAACAACTAATACAAACATAAGCTCTACTATCCTTAGTCATCTGTAAACTGTAATATTGTGGTGTTGCGAAATGGATACATTTGGTTCTGCCGTCATCATATTTCCCTGGAATTACTGTTATGAATCGTTTTGCTACTCAAGATTTCATTTTGAGATGAATTCTGTTCAAAATCAGCTTCTGTTTGCACAAATCACCTTGTTTATATAATTAGATAACCATTCTAAATAAAACATGAAATTAAACATTACATAGCCTACTTACTATTTCAGTTACAATGACACCATACGACGTTTGGACTTCTGTTGCATTTGTATCTGAATGGCTTCGAATCTTCTCATTGTCTTTTTCCAATGAAACGTCAGCTGCTTTAAGATGTACACATCGGTCTGCGATGCAGATTCCTAAACCTTTCCCTGATTTCTTGTTTAGTTCAATTACTAATTCTTGATCGAACCAATCTTCATTTTGTTCTGTTGGTCGGAATATTGTTAGATTAAAATAGATTGGATCGTTTGAAAGTACAGGTACATTTTCGTTTTCTTCTTTACAATCTGATTTTATCATGAATAATTTGTTGATGTAAGCCATTTGAAGTTTATGCATAGCTTCTAAAAATGGTAGGCCGAGTAATGACATGTGGTTAACACTCATAATCCTGTCTCCAGGACGAAGACGCCCATCTTTAGCTGCTGTACCGTTTGGGTAGATTTCATGTATAACTGGAACATTCTGTAAAATAAATTTTGAAATTATCAAAGGATAATTAAGTAAGTTTGTACCGTTTAAGAAGCTTAAATTAAATATTTGGTGGGTTATAAGTAATATAACATGCTGAGAAAAAGTCAGATAAAAATAAGTGTATGAGCAACTGTTACTGTACATCATGTTCTGACCATATAATTACTTGTTTTTTTTACATGGATTGTTGAAATCAGAAATTTTTAAACAGTCATTTCATTCCACATTAATAGATGACTAATCTGCATTAAACCACCAAACTTTTACAAACATTTTAGTTGTTTTAAACATTTCTAAAACGTACTTTTCCACCAACTGTTCAAGTTATTCTTAATTTCTTCAAGAGTGGGATGTATTCACAGATAGTGTTCAAAACGTTACTTAAAATCAAAAGTAATATTAAATCAGACTTTGGATTCGATCATGTAACAGGTGATCATGATCCTGTTTGAAAAAGATGGCGAGCTGCCTCGAACGGTGGCCACATTGCAAAACTGACTGATAGAATTCAGTTTGCACCAAACAAAGGACTAGACACATCACACTAGTTACTAGTGTTTAATGAAAAAGACTTTATTAGCTATCTACTTTCACTTAGACTGTAGTTTTTCTTGAACTGATATCAGTAATCGTTGACAAGTAGATTTTATTTTGATGATATTAGATAGTTGGAGGCAATCGGCAGGAAGCCTTGGACCTAGGTTTCGTGCTAGTTGGCAGTCATCAGCAAGGCGTATCTGCAACCTTGAAGGAACTCATGTCCCTTCTGAGATTCGAACCCGCGCCACCCAGTGAGTACTGCAGTCAGAGACGTTACCACTGAGCTATTCGGGCTCGCGATTGACCTCCCGTAGGACTGTAGTCGGTATTTGGATTGGACAATAGTAACTAGTGTAACGTGTCTAGTCCTTTCTTTGATGCGGACTGAATTCTATCAGTCAGATTTGATTTTACTATGTACAAACAAGGCTTGAATTTCTATACACAAAGAAACATGATTTTTATGAAACAACGGATATATTTAACATTATAATAAGTAGATTAACTATTTAGTATGCATGAAATGACTAAATAAATGTTCTTAGAATAAGAAAAGTTACATTGAACTTAGAGGCGTGTTTTTTTCGGTGGGCTGAGCGAAAATCACGAGTTGATGTGATAAATGCCGATGAAGTTTAGTAGAATGATTGTAGCCATATATATATATATATATATATATATATATCTATATCAGTCTTTCTTCAGCTCCCACTCTTTATTCACCAACTTTTCAAAAAAAAGATCCTATTTAATTACTTTAAAAGATAAAAGGTAAAGTAAAACTTCGGAAGAAAAAATCTGAAAGTTTTCATGAAGAAAACTGTTCTACTTATTCAAATAGACAAAAAGCAACCTATATTCTCCAGCACTGGGCATTAAACAGAGTCCTAGAAACAGTGACTAACTAAACTAAAGTAAAAAAATTTTTATTCCTGCTGAAACAAGGGAGTATAAATTCACAAAATCTGCACATTTTTGGTTGATTTAACTAAACTTTGAACAGTTCATGAAGCAATCAATTTCCCGTCACAGAAAAAGGAAATGCCTTCTTGTTAATTTAATTCTTTGCATGAATTCCATTTTTCCAGATTTATAATTAGAATGTTTTCTCATTGATATGCATTCTATAGTATCTATATTTGCATTTCATAAGACAAGCTGCTTGCAGTCTGTTGGCGTATATTTTTACAATTTGAAACGATTTCTTATCCACTATTGAAGTTATATGCATCGTTCCAGTGGTTTTGTTAATATTCGAGTTGTAAATTTTGATTGTAAAACTTCTGATCCTTAATTCAGTGTCGTTATATGTTTCACGTCACCGTGAAGTGAATTCGCTACGCATTGTTTCGACTGTAACAACCTTTTACAGTTGCTAACTGATTGCGTTTTTTTCCTCCGTCTTTTCTTGTTTGTACTACTTTAAAAATGTTGTACTGCTTTGAAAAGCTTCTCGCTTCACTGAAAATTCTTACTTTCTGGAAACAATATTTAGAAAGAACTCGTCTGGAGAATCTTCACTTGCTTATTTTGTAGACAGTGTCCAGATCTATGTGTTTGTCCATTGTATCTTCATTTAAAAATTAGCATGCCTCAAAATTCTCCCCCCTCCAGTCTTGAAGTTTTTTCACCTAAAGTGATAATTATCACAGTACTTCCGGTTTATTTTGAAGTTACAAATAACTCTTAATTTGTTTATTATTTGCCAGTGTTTTTGTTCGCTTATTTCAAACGCTTTTCTCCAGTTGAATTGGAAAATTTAGTCTGAAGTGGCAAATCTCAAGGCGGATTCCACTAAAAACTGATATCAGACAGTCAATTAGAGAAAATCAAAAGGTTACTGTGATTCAACACTAGGTAGTAACTAGTGCCGTGTGTCTAGTCCTTCGTTTGGTGCATACTACTGAATCCCATCAGTCACGTTTGCATTTTTGCCACCATGCTACTTGGCTTGCCATTACGGTTAACCATAAATTGTTGTTATTAGCTAAGTATCAGCGTCTCTGAATGCAACACTGGGTGACCCGGTTTCGAATTTCAGAAGAGACATGAGTTCCTTCAAGGGGACAGATACGAGTGCCTTGTCGACGAGTGCCAACTAGCATGAAACCTAGGTTGAAGGTTTCCTGCCTATTGTCTCTAACCATCGAAGGGTTGTAAACCCTGACTTCATCTTGCTTTAAGATTCTTCAAATTTACCTTAACATGACCTAGATAGGAATGGACCTCAAAGTCCAACGAATGGAAATTATAAATGTTAACAGAAGTCTTTATTCATATTTAACCTAATTCATTTTGCAAAATCATGGAACCACTAGTCGCTAGTAATTTAGAAAGTGGAGTCTAGTGCGTAGGTGGGCTTGATGTATTACTGCATTTATCTGAACTAGGCGCTACCAGTTAACCTGACAAGCTAAAATTCTACTCCTGCATTCTCTACTAAAGTAAGCTAATATATTTCTGACTTTTAATTTTTGGCAGGTATAATAAACGATTTTATCTAACCATATGTTCCGAATACATTATTATCTAGCCAATTGTCAATCCATTTCCATTCCAAAAATATTTATATGGTAAATTCTTTGCTAGAATCAATCTATTCTGTGTCTGTTTATTTTATCTATTGAATATTGATTAATTCAGCCATTGTTATACTTTACCATCTACTAATAAGTTTATTTATACTTTGTTATTTAAACTACTTGCTTTTACAAGCTAGTAGGCAGTAAGGAATAGGAGGATGCTAGTGTCATGATTCGTGTTGTGAACAAATGTTCTACATTAAGGTGTTATATTAAGGATTAAATTCTGTCCAGGTTCAGTGACTATGTTTATCTATGTAACGTTGTTCTTCTAAATTAGGCTGTCTACTATTGTTAACATGCGTCAGACTGTGGAGTACGCTGGACCAACGATGAGAAGACTCTAGAAGATCTGGATTTCGCAGATGATATATGTCTAATGTCACATAAACTCGAAGACTTACAGGCGAAAACCAAAAACCTGGCTGAAGAAGCAGCCGGCGAAGACAGGGCTGCACGTGAACATAGAGAAGACAAAGGTGATGAAGATAACCAACGAATCATAACAACAATTGACAATAATCACCAACAACGGGAGAGATTTAACAGAGGTAACCTCCCTCACTTATCTAGGAGGCATCGTTTCAACTACAGGCAGTCGGAACGGATGAAGATGTCAAAGTCAGAATCGGAAAGGCAAGATATGCCTTCATCAACCTGAAACCAGTTTGCAAATCTTCCGCACTGTATTCCGCACAAGGAACAAGATTCGCATTTTCAACACCAATGTCAAGTAGGTCAGTTCTTCTATACGGGTCAGAAACTTGGACAGCGTGTCACGAAAAGGATTTCCAACTGGCTGCTGCAAACTTTTATCAACAGCTGCCTTCGCCGGCTCCATACTGAAGATCAAATGGCTGGCCGGCCAGAAAGAATTAGTAACAAGAAACTCTGGCTGGGAACAAATCAACCAAGAGCCGATCACTAAACAAATATGTCAATACATTCATTTTATGTGATGCAGCTAAAGTATTAAGTTGTCGGTTTTATGCGCATTTTATCAATATCGAGGTTGGTCCCATGAATGAGTTAATAATTCACTGAAAGGCACAGCGGACTGAATGGATAGTTGTGCCGTTATATCTCGAGATTCGTGAAGGGTGATCACTGTGATCATGAGAGGAGTCAAGTGAAAAACGATTAGGTTGCTATATGAGTACGTTAACATTCAACCCTTGGGTAATATTTTCAATTAGTGTTGTTACCATTAGCATCCAATAGATATATCCGTATCCCCAAGCAATGGTTCTCGTTACTGATGTCAACTCATGACAAAATTAATCTCGAAATTAAGCGGTTTTCACCAACACTCCAGGCAAACGCTATTCTGCAAACTGTATGAAACTATGTCCTCTAGTAGTATTTGCTTCCTAATAACCTTAAACTCAAAGGAGGCTTGACTGTCTCAAATAAATACACAAAACCACAAAGTGGTTATTTAGTGAAGCCTGTTCTTATAGTTAGTAAGCTTACTCCTATGAAGTCACAGTAAAACGTCTGATTTCATTAGGTGTATGGATTTATTCATCAGTAAAAAGTAATGGTGATAAACAGAATATTTCTGCTCAGTAAATTCACATATAAACTGTAATTTGTGTGAAATGAAATTCTGTCAGCATTCACTTAATAACAGAACGTAGAAAGGGATTGACAAACTTTGACGGTTAGTTCCATAAAAACAAGTTAAATAGTCATATATATATATTCAGTACTACAGATAATACTCAGAGTTTCTAGTTTCAAACAGAATTTTCCAATGGTTCACTATGCGTGCTGACAGAAATTGTGTATCACAATCTTGTATCAGTCTATGAAACCGATCAGAGACAGAATTCAGGTGATTTGAACTGATCTGGCTTTTTCTGTCTCTCTCTCTCTTTTTCTCTCTGTAGGCTGAATCGAATCAAGTTCAGTGTTGAAACTACTTCGATCTGGATGCCAAGCCCTTCTGCTTGACTTGAGTGCTTCTTATCCACTAATCCAACATTTTATTGTGCAGTCTGTTATCGTATACATGAATGAACAAGAATAATATATATATATTTATATATAAGAAGATATTCCCAACCTCTGCATACAAGCGAAACTGCCTACACTTAAATTAAAACCATCCTATTCGTTTTATAAATCTCATTTTCAGCTTCTGGCGTCTCCATATTATCTTTGTTTACTTTTCTATGCGATGCGTTGGTTTCAATTCACCCTAAAGGTTAATTTTTATATGTTGTACATAAACTGGCTAATTATTTTGCTTTTTTTTTTATTATTTCAGTGATTAAAACATACTTTTTAATCAAGTCGTTATTCCTGCATATCGTATTAAAAAGTCTTATTCTTTTTTACTATATCCAACTAAGTGGTACTTGTAATCTCCCAAATAATGCAAAGAATGCAAACCCATAGAAATCTCAGTTGTAAGTCTGTAGTGAATTGAATCAGCTGAAAATCCATATTATTAAATGAAATCGTTTCCTGACATTTCCCAAATGAGTATTTTTAGTCATACCCGAAACAAGGATAAAAATAATGCTGCTATTTATGAGTGTGTGGGTGTGCGTTTTTCTTTAATACTTTATTAAATTCAGAAGGAATAAAATTTCCAGACTAATGTATATTTTATACGACAATCAAGCCGCCTTTTTGTGCTTTCATGTTTTTTTTCCTATCGGTAAACTAATTCTGAAGTTTTTCAGCTAGCTAGCTAGCTTCATTTATCTTCGAAGTAGACGAAATGAAATTAAATATCTCTGCTACTCACTCATATCCCGGCGCCTAGTATTGTTAACTTGCGTGCATTGGATAAATATACAACCCCCTGCAAAATATCTACAACTTCATAGATGCAGATGAATGTGAAAAGGTTAAATACAAGGGCAAGTAAACTTCTCATTCCTTTTAAAAAGTCCAAGTTAACAATGACAAAACTCGGTCACTTATTTTTCCAATACATTGAAATTCTCATGAAGTTGAGACTTTATTCTTCTGACAATCTGGTTTTCAGTTTTGATGATGATGATGAGAGAAATTAAATAAGTGTAACAATAACAACAACAACAACACCACCTGAAATCTTAAAGTAACAGATAAAATGTACCAGGAAAGCTTACTTACCAGTGCTGTCTCACTTCCTCCTATGCAACCTATACCCAGACTGCATGAACCATTAATAGCCATATAAATCTCTGTTTCAACTCCAGGCTTGATTGGACGAGTTGTTGAGGCCATTTCTGGTTCATCATTTATCAAAACAGAAATCTTCTCAAAATTTCCACTTTCCGATGGGACATTTATTGATGTTGTAGAATAGTTAAGAATGGGTTCCAAAGTGGAATGAGGAATGTATTCTGGTTTATAGCTGAAGCTTGGAGAACTTGCACGACGATATCTAGATGCGATTTGACTGGGTGATAACCAGTTTACGGCTGTCAATATGTAAAAAGTGAATAAAAAGGAAGTTAAACTTTGCAGCCGTCTACAAGCTAGTCAGTTAAACACATTTATTAAAACGAATTAAACAACTCTAAAGCAACATAAGTTTAATCAGCTGGAACATAAGTTTATCAGCTGCATTACATTGAGATAATCTGAATAACCTTTTATAACATCATGTTGTTTCATTTGTTATGTGACTATTTAAAGAAATTTAGTTACTTACACTACAAGTTAACTCTACGATTTCTTAATAAAGATAAAACGCACCAATTTCATCATAAAGCAGTCAGAACAAACATCAACATTAATAATTTTTGTTAGTGACAAGATTACAGACTGGCACAGAAGGTATACTTTGATTGGAGAACAGACGTGTCTGAAAAAAGTACAGCCGAATCGATATCAGACTGCATTCCAGCTGCATTTGAGGTGTTTTCTTTAAATCAAGAGTCACAGACAATAGTAAAATGTAGCTCCATTATGGATAAGATTTTTATTTTGATAAATCACACAGTGTTGAACAGTAATATTAACTGATGATGTTTTGAGCATAAACTATTGCTCATAATCATATCAAGTTGAAAAATATATATATATACTTATATATATATTTTTTCAACTTTATATGATTATGAGCAATAGTTCATGCTCGAAACGTTAAGTTAATATTACTGTATATATATATATATATATATATATATATATATATATATATATAATGTAGCGTTACTAAGTTCAGCTTTATTCGTGCATCTACATTGAAATGTTTGGTGTACCCAGTCGGTTTTGTCATAATCAAATGCACAGTATTTCTTAGTGTTCCTAAACCAGCATTATATGTGTTGTATGCATTTTAAATATACTTTAGGAGTCCATTGCAAATTGACATATTATCATAGCGCATTAAATGAATCTTTTCGCATAACCATTTCTCTGCATTTGAAATAAAATAGAGATTTTTGAACATTTTTACCACTACTTTGGAATTATGCAGCATTTATATGTCTCCTTCTCTCCGAGGGGGTTACAGACTAGTAGAAATTAGGATAAAATATATTGAACACAAAGATTCAGTAGGACTGAGACGGCTCAGTAGCACATAACTCCATATTATTATTATTAATTTTTTTGTTAATTGGATATATCACACAATGAAACAGTATTACTTACTGGATGACGTTTTGAACACAATTTCCTGTTCATAATCATATTAGCTAATATCAAGTGTTATATCCAATAAAAAAAATGAATATGCAACGCAGTTCATACTTAAAGTGTAAATTCTTCCCTAGGTTTTCAAAGGGACTCCGATCTCTCTTTTTAGCTTTTCTGTTTTTCCTGATTTTATGGAGCGAAACTTAACATGATAGTAAATAACGTTATCTTTGTAACCTTAATTCTCTGAGTATTTCTGTTGCTGTTGTTGTTAAAGCGGTTGCATATATTTTCATCCTACTCCACATAACTTTGTATCCAGCACTAAACGGGGCTGTTTGTGAACATAAACAGTTCGCTGTGCACACATTTCAAGATGTCGGGAAGTAATTAAATCAAATTATTTTGAGATGAAAAACACATAGAAGCTAAAATTACGTGAAAAGACATTATCTTGGTAAACGTGGCTTCAAAATGTTATCTGATTGAATGTGTTTTACTACTATTTAACCTCATAAGTCGAGTGTTTAAGACAAAACCGTTCTGCCTGTTTTAGTCCTCATTTGAATAATGATGATATGTTGGCAGCTCGAATGCACATATCACTAACTGTCCAGGTTGAACTGGGGAATCAGTGCCTTCACAGCAGTATTGGTAAGCAAAGTTGTTGTCCTTTTTGTTTATATTAAGGACATTCACCTATTTGTTGTCTTTTTTACCTACGTCATACATTGACATAAGATAGTTGGAGTAAATAACTTTCAAATGTTTTGAAAGGGTTATTTAGCTTATTTCTCTATTTCATTGTTGTTAGTATTTAAATTGCCAAGATAAAATTGACGTGTATTTATATAAAAAATATGAAAACCAAAGTTTAAGTTATAGGCAGTTTTTGTATATAACTTTCCTGAATAGAAATGAGGAAAAGACCTTGATATATTTTTTTTGCACTTAATAGTGCATTTTTCAACCGCTAATCATACAGAAACGTTTTCTCCTAACTAGGCATTTTTATAAACGACCCCAAGGTTTCTAGACGAGTTAAAACATCCTCTTCTAATATACTTTTCTTTTGGTTCAAATGTATATTACACTAATTTAGTTATTGAGGAAAATAAATAGTAAAATAAAAGTTTTCAGTTCTCGGTTTCAGGAATGCAGGATTATTTATATCATTTTACTGTGACAATGGATGAAGGTAATAGAAAGGAAGCCTGTTCTTATTGGTAGTTTTCCTCTAGCCCGAAGAAACTGGTCTCCGCTAACAGATTCGAATCCTAACCACCCAGCGATGCATTCGCAGACGATGCCAATGAGCCATACGGATATATGATTGACCTCTTGTAGGAGTGTAACAGATATATTGATTATTAACTAAGTGGCAACCAATGTCATAGGTCTAGTTTTTAGTACTGAATTCTACCTCTGAGTAACTCAGTAAAAATTTGTCTGTTTGCAGTATTGGGTGACAGAGGTTCGATTCCCGAGGGGATAATATCTCGCAAGTTACAAATAAACCTCGTGTTTATTCAATGTACTTTTTATTGTGTTAATTATTTCTTTCTATCTGTATCATTGATCTCATTTCGAAAGCAACTTGTAGATTTCAGATTTTTGTTCAGATTACTATATGTATGATAGATTGTATGAACGTTTGAAGATATAGTCTGATCTAAATTTACTACACAGTTACTTATCCTTTGTCATTTGTAAGATGAGTGACGCTTCAGTAGTTTTCTTTCAGACTAATAATATACAATCACTTGTAGTAAATTTATTTGACAGGTAATTTCGTATTTTGTACAATAGGTGTGGTTTACTCACAAACTCTAGAGATATTCACTCTTTATTTTAGATAACTTAAAGACTAAATTTACTTTTGTACTTTGAGGACATATTAACTTTGGTGTTGTGAAAAGATATCCTCATGAATGTTATCTCCAATTCTGTCATTTGGGTGTTAATGTATGTTTAGCAGTCTTTTGGGATGAAACTTATTAGTGCCGAAGTGCTGATTTTAAAATATATCACTATGTCCCCTTCATTGTCAAATACAGATTCACATGAGCACTGTAATATCAGTGGAAGATACACATTCACTAACACAGCTAAACTGAGTGAATATAAATCACTCACTGAGATGGAATATTTGAATTGCTAAAATTGTTTTCCGTCTGATGAAAAAATAATTCTTTTAGTCCAAGTGATGCGTGAGGTATTTCTGCAAGGAATTCTCTATTGCAGTCAACATGTGTTGAAAAGCAAACTGACTGTGAGCCTGAGTAGCTCAGTAGTAACGTCTCTGATTACAGTAGTGACCGACCTGGTTTCAAATCTTCAAAGGGACATGAATTCCTCCAAGACTGCAGATATACCTTGTTGAAAAATGCCAGCAAACATGGAACCTAGGTCTAAACTTTCCTAGCGATTACCTCCAACTATCCAACATAAATTCAAAGTGTATCACGATGGTGGCCTAACCGCAGGCATGATTGACAGAATTCAGTCTGCACCAAACGGAGGACTACATACATGACATTGCCCAATCAAGGCAGATGAAATTTTACTGAGTCTCTTAAAACTATTCATACAAGTAATACTACTGAAGTGACCGAGAAAAAAAGCAGGTTATTATCAAAGCATGTAGTTAAAAAATGTTTTCCCATCAGCTGGTTTTATCAGTACTAAGAAGTATCAATCTGATCCAGATGTAGATATAAACAAAATTTCATGAAGTCATCTTCTGTGGGGAAAAAAGATTAACATCCAGTCTTTTCTTTCCTTCACGTTCCCCAGTGGAACATAGGGCTTCAAGCTAGTGGCTTGAAGTTTCTGTAGCAGTGTGTTTATTTTACAGGATGGGGTTGCTAGCCTCATGCCCAACCTTTCCTCTTCACCAGCATTATTACTGGCTTAGCGAAGTCAAGGACTGCGTCTATCGGGGATCAAACCCCGGACCATGTGCATGGTCGGCAAGCGTCCTAACCGCTGTGCCACCGACGCTTTTTTGGATTACAGATTGATTTCACACCGTATTTTTTGGTACGGGTATAAAATTTTCAGCATATGATATCGGTAGCCCAGATTTTGCAGGCCGGCCATAGATATCAGGTGTGCGTCGGCAGGGGATCGAACCCCGGCCAACATCCAGTACTACTTGTATAATTTGTCAAATGTCCTAGTCTTGCAAGTTTGTTTAGAAACCGGATCAAAACATAATCATCATTCAACTATGACCTTAGGCAGATGTTTCAGAAGGCTAACTTGTTCATTTACCATTTGTTCTTACTCTTCACTTGTATATATATATATATATATATATATATGTATACTTTTAACCAAACACAATACTGTAACGGTTTTTAGTGAAACTATACTATTACTTACCATTTTCAGTTGAAGGCAGTATGCTTAGTCTTTTTTGGTTTATCAAATCTCCGAAATTGCTTACTGATGACAGAAATTTCTTACTGTCTAAGTCTTTGCCAAATAAAGCAGCTGCTGCTGTCTGTAATACAGAAGGTTCAGAGAAACGCTTATTTGATGATTTTCCTTCTGTAGTGGTTTGCGTGCTGAAAGACCACCGTGTAACTTGAAGCTGAAGCTGTGTTTACAAAATTGTAGAAGATGAGGAAAATGTGTTAATAATAATAATAATATTTTAACCAAAGATAAATACTTGGTTTGAAAAAATTTCTCTCATTTAGCTTCAAACTTTTCTTAAAGACGAATGGTTTAAACACCTCAAACATGCCATACTGTAATGTAAATCTAATTTATATTTCGATATAAATTTATTACCAATTAGTTAACTATTCTTTGTTCAAAAACTTTATGCCACGAATAGATTGATACACACTGCATAGTTAGAATAGTAATTCCATACTAATTTGTTTGTTGGATGGGTTACACAATGATATGATTATGAACAATAAATCTTGTTTGAAATGTCATCCAGTAAATAATACTGTTTCGCTGTGTGATTTATCCAATAAACGAATTAATATGGAATTGAAGTATCCAAGTTCTACAATTACAGCTAGAACGGCTAAAATGGTTAAGACTGCTTGACAGGAAATCACGTCAAAAACGCCTTCATTACTGTTGAGTAAAGAAACAAATGGAAACATTTTTTCAACTTTGAAACCGGATTAATATCAGTTACAGGATCATTGAAAACCAGGTAGTACTGGACAGGCGTTTCGTCTTAGTTCGGAACTCATCTTATGCTCTCTAGTGCTGGCTACAGGACAGAGTTGCGTGGAGCTGTAGTGAGAAGGCGTGACCATTGGGTTCTCTCTGGTCAGTACTGAGGAAAAACACTCACCGATGACATTGACTGGTGGCCGCACCAAAAGACTACGAATTGGCAGTACGCACCCACCACCAGGGTTCGAACCCAGGACATTCCGGTTACAAGGCAAGCTCGTATACTATTCAGCCACTGGGACCCGATTCAGTGGCCAGCCCATGAATTCTAACTTCTACCAATTCGTGATTTTAGCGCGACCGCCAACCAATGTCATCGGCTGGAACTCCATCCTCACTTCCGACTGGATGGATCCCACTGGTCACGAATTCTCACTAGAACTCCAGACAACTACGTCATGTAACCATGTAACCAGTCACTAGTGAGCATCAGATTAATTTTCAAGAATTGGTTTGTGAGAATTCTATTTGTTTCGGGTTAGACCATGGATTGATATCAGTTAGGGAACCATTGAAAGCCAGGGAGTACTGGACAGCTGTTTCATCCTAGTTTGGGAATCATCGACAGTACTCACCCACTGGGGTTCGAACCCAGTTGGTACGAATTGGAATAAGTTATAATTCATGGGCCATTTGGTCGGATCCCAGCGGCTAAATGCTCTGTCAGATTGCCCTGTTACCGAAAAGTCTTGAGTTCGAAACCCAGTGTGTGCGCACTGGAGATGATTTTTAACTGATGTCAGTCCGTGGTCAAACTTGAAATAGATCAAATATTAAGAAAACTAACTGCTGAATATTTTTTTTATCCTTATGGTCCTACAATTTCGGCAGCCACATTATATGTGACTTAAAAATGAATCTTACTAAGATTCCTTTGAGTATGAATCATTAAAGCTGTTCATGATGATGTATCCTGACTGAAATTTAAAAGAGAAGCTTATATCATGTTAAATGTGAATTGGATAGCTTTTTTACCTAGCATGAAATCAAAAACCTTTGATTGACTGAGATGATGGGTAGTGCGACTTGGCTGACTGCAAGCGATACGAAGGTGATGTGCTAATAAAACTATTTTAAGCGCTAGTCATAACCTCAACCATCATAACAATACTAGCGGCATGTGGAAAGAAGAAAAGAAGATGGATGGTTGACAGTGGGCTGCTACTATCTCAAACAGCTGTCAGAACAGTCAAATGCAATACTGAATGTACAGTACATATCTTAAATGAACTTGACAAACACCGAGTTCCCTGACAGATCTAAACAATCAACAACCAATGATACTTCAGCGTTCAAAAAGAATAAGAAAACAGTAAACTAGAGTCAAGTTACGGTTGAAGACAGATGTCAGGTAGTCAACAGATAAAGTTAAGGGTGCATGAGTGCATTTATGGTTCACTGACAGAACGTTCGCCAGTCACGTTTCCAGCTGGCGTACTTCTAAATATCTCCTAGTGTAGTAGCTGACGATAGATCAGGAATACAGGAAAAGTCGAGCGCGAGGCCAGCAGTCCTACTTTAAAACTTGAAAGCCTGTATTACACTCAGAACGCATAGAACTGTAGAAGCGATACATAGCACTGACCTAACTCTTTCGATATCTGTATAGTTAGGTCCATTGCAAATTATGATAGGCATTTGTGAGGATCTGAAGAAAGAGAAAAATCTTTTGGAACTGACTCTTCATCACTGTCTAGTATAATAAACTTGTGTTGGTGGCTGATTTATAATTGAGGCGAGAATTATAATAAATAGAAATACATTAAAACACGGTACATTTTTAAATAATTCATAAGTGCTTTCTACCGCGGAAATACACGAAATTTGTACTCAACTTACAACATTTTTTGCCGCTCTTATCCATTCTAAAACAGTGTCATACGATGCATTAGTTGCATCTTTCTTATTTACTTTGATCAGTCTATCTCCTGAGCATAAAACACCATCCTGAAAAAAAAGAAAGAAAACAATACGACTAGACAATAAAGTGAAAACTAAGACTATAAAATATTAGTCTATGAATTAGTTTGACAACACTTGGACGCATTAAGTATCATCGTAGAGGTGAGTTTTTCACCATTTAGTAGCGGGTAAAAAAATACCGCTAGCGAATCTTGTTTAACAAAACTCAAAAGGCAAATTTAATGTTCAATTTTACTGAATAATATTCATTACAAAGTGATGAGTTGAATGAATATTCAATGCATTTTTGCGATGAAATTGAATTTTAACTAAACTCCATGTAAATGTAAGAACTAACAGAGGTTAAACAAAAGTAGACCACTCAAAATACAAAAAGATTAAGATCAATCACAAGCCTCTTTAGTAGTTATTACTATGATTATTCCCTTGCGTTCCGAATGGAACATAGGGCTTCAACGACAGATTTCCACTTAGTTCTGTTTCCTGCCGTCCTCTTCAGCTGAGTCCACGATTGACCAAACTCTCTCATCTCTTCCTTATACGATTTCCTTCATGTCAACCCTCTCACCGACGACGCACACGTCGCTTCCCATTTGGATTGCACTCGAGTAATTGCCTGCATTGCGTGAGATGTCATTCGGCGACCTCCTCAATGTATGCCCGATCCATCTCCATTTTTTCCTACATATTTGTTGGGCGATCGACTCTTGGTTGATTTGTTCCCAGCCAGAGTTTCTTTTTACTAATTCTTTCTGGCCGGCCGGCCATTTGATCTTCAGTATGGAGCTGTTGATAAAAGTCTGCAGTAGCCTGCTGGAAATGCTTTTCACGACAAGCTGGCCAAGTTTCTGACCCGTATAGAAGAACTCACCAACTTGACATTGGTGTTCCTTATGCTGAGTGCGGAAAGTAGTAGTAGTAGTACATCCTTACTACATGATTTACAAACAATAAATAAATGTTTCAACATTTTTTGTAAGTTTACAGATAAAACTGAACAGATGTTTATGCAGTGACTACTTATGAAGTTCATCGAGGTTTATTTAGTAATTGTTTAGGACTCTGCACTCGTAGATTGGCAAACAGTTAAAGCTAACCTGATATTGACTCTACCTATCAGATAACTGCAGAAATGACCATCTCTCAAAGAAAAGACAGAAAAAGTTAACGTGAAATGTATACAATCTATTTATTTATCATTTTAACTTATCCACACACATATTTCCCTATATTATATTATGCGAGAAAGAAATAAAAACAAAGATTAGGTTAGTATGCAAATACTTTAAGACGATTCAAATCCCATTCACTTTGAATATCTGAAAAGTTAAAAATAGAATTTTGACATCAATCTATTAAAGCAAAACAATTTTTGCTTCTTTAACACTGATTGATCACTGTTATTAAAGTAATAAGCTTCTACAATATTTGATCCAATTATCAGTGTAGTATGTTTAAAAGATTTTGCTTTTAGACAAAACTTGATAATATTAAACATTTTTAAGCACCTTTTGGAGTATATTTTAGGTTGTCTGTAAAAGAAAACTGCAATTTATCTGGTAGTAAGTATTTTGTTGAGTAGAAATTACAGTCCGTAAAACCAAAGAAGTATTTGAGCTCAGTCAGCATACGTTTTATTTCCTGTTGGTCTCTCTACCATTAGCAGCCTAATTCACAAGTACTTCCTTCATACTAACTTTCTCATTTTTATTTTATTAAAAATAAATGGTGAAATAATCCCATAAAAGTGTAGATAGGAAAGAGATGAAATTTCTTTGTGACCTACCTTTTCTGCAGGGCCACCTTCAATTATCTGTTTAATATATATCCCGTCTTCATTTGTTGGACTTCCTTCCATTATAGCAAAACCATAACCTTTAGAACCCTATTGAAAACAAAAATATGCTTTTAGTATTATAGAAATCAATTATACGAAATGAAAGTCAATGAAAGTAATGATACTTTTAATTCTTTAGTTGTTTGATTTTTTTTGTCTTCTATTTATTACAAAAATACCAACTTACCCGGTACAATGTAGTGGAATGTGTTTGTTGAACTAAAGGTCCATGAGATCCACCAAATGCAATATTCATCAGTTCTATTGATTCCTTAGCTTTATTTACATTCCTTACTGGTGAAGGTAGTGTACTAACTGTTGTCTCTACACTGTTATGTCTACTAGATCGACCAGATGAATGCTGTTTAGGTTTAAAGCAAAATTAAATGAAAAAGTGAATAAATACATGATTTAAAAAAATGATAACTTTACAAAAGGTTAACGGATTCAATTGATTTGTCAATTAATTAGTTGGCTATGAGGAATTTGCAAATTTTAAACTATACGAGACAGCCTCCGAAGAATCTGAAATGTTAAAAAAATATATCAGCCTTCTATAATTGAGATGTCCACTGTAATTAAGTTCAGTTACAATATCGCGAATGGTCCACCGAGGGAGAGAGCTCTCGAGTGGATGCGTCACAGGATGGTACTGCATGCTGGTCTTGTCTCGCAAAAGGCAGGGATAGGTTCATCCGATTCTCAGAAAAACCAATACCCAGTCAATGGGTATACTATTATGTAAATTGTGTACGTCGGTGGTTCAGCGGTAGAGCGCTCGCCAACCACGCACGTGGTCCGAGGTTCGATCCTCGGCCGACGCCTACACCTTGCTAAGCCGGTAGTAGGTTCTGTAAAGTGGGTATGTCGAGAGTGAGGCTAGATACCTCACCCCGTAAACATAAACATCACTACAACTGAAACTTCGAAACTCTAGCTTCAAGTCCCATATTCCACTGGGAACGTGATGGAATAAAAACAATATCACAAAATCTCGACTGCTCAGACAAACAAAAAAGCTCCAATCTTATTGACACAGGTATACTGAATGATTTCTATAAAACTACGACATAATTTTAGGTAATAAATAGTAATCGAAGGGTCACTTCGTAAATGAGTCACAATTACTACCGATAGACATATATCAAGTAAGTAAATTAAGAGTGAATTCAGCTTTATCACAAGGCCAAACTTTAAAACACATATCAACAGAACGGAATCTGATTACTTTGATTCATTTCATCGAAGATAGAGAAAACGGCTCAAAAATTAGAAGAGTAGACGACTACTGTATATATGTATGTATATATACATATATGTATTGCGTGCATGAGACCTCAACATTTCTCTTCGTTAGACAACATGACAATCCTCTTAGATGAAGAAAAACTACGTAACTAGGCTGATCAATATTTTCTGCAGCCAGAATGCCACGAATCTGAATTCCTTCCTAATCATAGTTTATATAATACATCCGAGGGAATAAAACGAAGATAATTTACGTGTTATTGCTTAAGATAGCTACATTATAAGACGCTAAACACAACAATATCTGTATTTATATATGTTCAGTTTTTCTCTTCTAGTTGCATCGAATAATGTTCAGATATCAATTTTCGACTTAGCTATTTGTTATTTTTTCTTAAACATCTAATCACTTATTCTGTATGTTCAACATTATATCTGAATGAGTCCTTCACTATATTATTCTTTGCCTATTTTCTTTTGCTTACTACAAAGCTTTCCGATTTTTTCAGTACTTTGCTCTCTTGGTAATTATCATTCATTCATTCATTTTTTTAGGTCTACGGATGGATTTATTACAACAGTCAGTTAGTAAGAAACTACTTTGTGTTATCAGTCTTTGCTCTATTTCTGTCTCTGTCGTTAATATTTTTACCAAGAAAGTATTGAAGATAAAGATTGTAATAAGGCATTATTAGCAGTTGCAATAGTTGTTTGCTACTGTGACTTTCTGATCTACTCTGATAGAAGTGATGTTATCTTAGAATACCTTGGTAATGAATATGGAATGGGCTTAACTGATGTGGCTTAGGATGTATTAAAACTCTTAAATCAGGGATATGGAAACACTAGGTTCTAGTTTTTGGACAAATGTATATATGTACCCATGTGAATAGTTTTAGCTCAGGGAAGGAAAATCGGTATTCGATTCACCTGTTGGAGAGAGAAATATTCTTGTTCAACAGATGAATAAGCCCAAGTTTCCGACACTTTACCAAAACGTTGGATACCAAGCTTCCAACACTTAACTTGTAAGTTTGAACAAGGGTTGAATTAGTTGTCTGACTCTGAAGCCACTCCGATATTTTGACAGAGGTGCTGTTGCGAAAAAAGTTAGTTTGTGATACACACTACATATGTTTAGTATTATCTTAAAAAGCATACTGGCTTAATGGAGCAGAACATCTTCAAACTTCAGTCACTTACATCATTGTGGTGGTTGACGACAATCGATGCCATAAGGCTTATGTTAGCTGGATGACGCTGAACCACAAACCTTAAACCATTAATTTTAGACCGTCGAAAGATATTGTTGCTTCTTCCAATCGCTTCCATATAAATTGATCTAATCAGTGGTGCAGCATTTAAGTGGCTAAGACCATATAACATTTGATTATTGACCTAAGATAAACAAATAAAAACAACAGAATTGTTATGATTGGTTTTGAAGATTCATAGATTTACTTACACATGAATTGACACTTCTTAGATTGCCGTTTAAGTATTTATTATTTGATTGGTTAACTCCTCGTTAGATTTTTTTATACAGATTCTTGTGGAATAAAATGAATTTCATTATTGAACTCACTTCGTGTGTCCAGCAATGTGCAAAAGGTAAATGAAAGCATGAAAGCCATGCGCTGTTCCCTCAGTTAATATGCGCTTTAAAAATAAAGATTTAACCTCACTACCATGTGAAGTTTGGGGTTATACGTATAAATATATTATCATCCTGGCGTTCTGAGTGGGACATGGGGTTTCAACAGCATGTTTCCATTTTGTTCTGTTCCCTGGAGTACTTTTCATCCAGACCCATGGTCATCCATAAGCTTTTATCTCCTCCTCTCACGAGTGCTTAACTCTCCGTTCCCCATTCGGGTTCCATTGGAGGGCCTGGCACGCGACTGCACCCACTGTTTCATCAGCGAGTGTCCGATTCCTCTCAGTTTTCTTCTTTATGTTTGTTGAAGAGTAGGATCTTGGTTTGTTGCTTCGTAGAGTTCCTTGTTTCTAATTCTTTTTGGCCATCTGATCTTCAGTGTGGGGCCAGAGAAGGCAGCTGTTGATAAAAGTCTGCAGTAGCTCATTGGAAACTGTTCTGTGATGCGAACGCCAAGCCTCTGAACTATACAGAAGAACTCACTTAGGACATTGAAAATCCGAATTTTGTTCTTTAATCTGATTGCATATAGCTTTCCCCTGATTTTAGAGTGATGAATATCTGCCTTGCTTTTCCGATTCTGGTTTTGACGTCGTCATCAATTTCGCCTGTAGTTGAAACGATGACGCCTGGATAAGTGAAGGAGGTGACTTCCTTCAAACTGGTGGTTGTTGTTTGGTTATCTTCATCACCTCTGTTTTCTCTTTGTTAGTTGAATTCTTATCTTTGCTGCATCTTCTGTCAAGTTTTTCGTTTCCACCTGTAAGTCTTCGAACTTATGTGACGTTAGACATGAATCATCCGCCAAGTTCAGATCTACAGTCTTCTTATCGGTCCAACGTATTCCCGTCTTCTCAATCCTCGCGTACGGAAAGACGTTCAGCGAAGAGTTACTCTTTTCAGCGATACCATTCTTAGGTCGATCGTAGATTTAGTGACAGAACAAACTTTTTCCGTATGCAGAGTTCGGGATTTAAAATGAGAATCGTCACCACTCTGCAGTCCGAAGAGGGTTGATTCGTACTCCTTTAGTAAGATTCCCGCAAATTCTGTAGATGACTTTGATGTTGGTCAGCTTGGTGTACAGAATCAATCACGTGATCCAGGATAGAGCTGTGGGGAGATGTTTTCTCCTTCATAAAACCATAAGTATAAGTGTTCGATGACTGAGTACGATCAACATTCCAATATCCACAGGAGTAGGTGAACTGATAAATACACACTGATGAGACCAGCATTGGTAGCTTATCCTTCATGTTCGTGCGAATTATTGGTTTCGTATGGAAAGATGGTCTTAGTTCAGCTGGGATGGAGGTCCACTTCAATGAGTGGATTAGGTGGTGTTTCTGCCAATGAGTTTTAACTGAAGTCTTTAACAAGCGGCAAAAGTGGGCAGTTTTATGGTTTAGGCTTCATAGATGTTTTGATGAAGCCTTTAGGATGGCTATTTTCGAGAAGAATTCTTTTGAGTGTTCAGCCACTTTTCCATAGTGTCAGAGCTGCAAATGCTACGGATTCTGTTGCTCAATGAACGGATTATGTTTCGTTCTGTAAAAACAGGCACCCAACTATGGAAATTAGATAGTCATCCGTTCCATGTTAGCTTTCTATAGATGGATCCTTTTAGCCTTCCATCTTATTCACGTCTTGTTGATTGAACGTGTCCAGAAAAGATATTTTTGAGTCGAATTCCTTCTGTAATGTGAACCAGATTGCAAGGCGGCAACTGTTGAAATAAATGGAGGATGTCTTCCAAATTCTCGTCTAGTAATAGTGAACGTTCATTCCCAAGCAATCCAGAAAAACTTGTATTTAATCTTTCGAACATTGAACTGGAGACATTATCTCTTGGTTCAAAACTCTGAGCAAAATCACCAAACACTTAGAAGCTTCAAGCTTAGGTTCACTTCGAACACCTGATAAATCAAACATATGATCTGGCATCAACATCTGAAGACAACATGCAACTATCATGTCATCACTTCTTGACAGCTGTCACAAGTTTGTAAATAACACGTCAAATAGAGGGTTCATATTAATCAAGAAACACCATAATGAGACGAAACAGTTGATTAATTTACACATCTTTGGAAATATTCCTTTTATTGCCAAGATAATATATATATATATACGCGATTGCACAGCTTGAGAATGATACCGCTGAGTGGAATATCTCTCTTTTTCTTTAAATGATTCAGTGGGGATATACATCGTCGCCTTGTATACTTGTGATAAACAATTCCATAGAACAAATCTTCGGAAATCACACTAATTGGCATATCACATTTTACCTTTCGTTTCGTTCGGTTATCTAAGAAACCTCAAACTGTATACGTATAGGCGTAAGATAAGATATAAATGTAATCCTTAAAAGGTATAGGAGACCAACCGAAATTTAACATTTGCAAACATTCATGCGTCAGTGGCACAGTGGTTAGGACTCTCGCCGACCATGCACATGGTCCGGGGTTCGATCCCCTGCCGACACACACCCGATATCTATGGTCGGCTTGCAAAATTTGGGCTACCGATATCACATGCTGAAAATTCCATACTTGTACTGAAAATACGGTGTGGCATCAAGCTGTAATCAAAATAAAATAAAATAAATAAGTAAACAATATCCATTCTGACAATGAATTCAGTTTGTTCTGAGATTCTGGAAAGCCCGTTAAATTGTTTTAGTTGTTAGTTTTTAATTTATAGTTTCGTTTTTGTTTTTAGAATTTTCCTGACGGTATCACTATAGTAATAAATGCTTCTAACCAGTTAATAATAATTATTCATAGTTAAAGTTTGTCACGAAAGTAATTTTACACGTTTAAGCGTTCAGTTAAATTTATGTCATATATAAAGTGTTTGTGAAAAGTTATAAACTCTAGTTGGTGTGGTTTATTTCATCACAAAAAGTCATTTAACCAATACATTTTTATATTGCTTCAATTTTACTCAAAGAGTATGACTAATTTGTTAGTGAAAATTTATGATTCCGTAGAATTGAAAAGTCAGTAAAAATAATAATGAAGTAGAGTTTAAACCGGTCTACAGATAAAACCACCATCACCACAACAACAAAGGCAAAATTTTTCTTGAATGAAAAATATGTTTTCTTCGTGTAACTGGTTCAATTTCATCAGAAGAAAAAAAGATGTTTGATTGTCACTGCTCCGCTGTGTTTATACATATATAAGGTATACAGTAAACAACTGTTCATGAAAACAAAGTACTTCATTCAAGTGTATCAAGCATTGAAGCATGGTAAACATTATCGAGTGGGGCATAAGCCCTGAATATAATGAATGATACTACATATATAATAAGGCGATGAAAGGCATTTCGTAAGTTTTCTGAAAAGATATTTTAAACACATGTTCACATGTGAAGGGTGAGCTTTGCATTTTAGCTTTTTCCCTATCGCAACATGTTTTTAGTGTAAATATATTGATTTTACGATGTAGAGGTTTTAGTATATAGCCACAGACAGAAAAATTTGATAATCTTAACTGTCTCAAACTTATGATTTGATTGCTATGTTATATTCAAGTATACTTACATCCCAGTTGTTGTGGACAATCTTTGTACTTTCTCAGTTAAAAGGGATTAAACTATGGTCACTTTGCTAAAGATAGCTAGGGCTTCTAGTTAAACATTAAATTAGCGATGTTATTCAGACAGCTGGTAATGTTAACATTAAATAGTAACACTTCCTATAAAAGTTGTAATCAAGTGGTATTCGATGAGGGAAAAAATGACACCTGCTCTTTATTATCAAGTTATGTCTTAGCTTTGGATAGTCGGATAGCACAACTTTTTAATCATTTGAAGTGAGTTTATTAGCACTTACCTCTAGCAATTGATCTCCAACTTCTATATGCCCATCACGGTCAATAATACTGCCAGGTTGAATCCCACAAACAAAGACACTCATCTGATTAAGATCTCTGCTCCCAGCAAGTTTGAGACCCAGACTCATCTTCTTATTATGCCCAGCTTCAACAGGTAAATTGCTCAAAGGTAATTCAAAAGTCATGATTTCTCCAGGCAGTTCACTGTATTTGTTCAGCAAATATTCTATGAAAAAGAGACGCAAAAATACAAAATCTTTTATGCATTTCCCACTTGGAATTAAACAGTGTTGAATGCAAATGGATCAGTAAACAGCTATTGAGCTTACATTATACATATGATTTGAAGCCTCAAGTTTACCTGAGTATTTTTTTTTAAATAAAGCGACGAATGGAGCTGGGGTTAGTTCATTAAACCTAAAGATCACAGGAGTAGGAATAAACTGGTTACTGTGCAGCCACTAATTTACCTGGAAAAGCACTGCACGATGATGCTGCCCCCTCCATAAATGTTGGTTTTAGTTATAGTAAAATGCGGCATTAATAAAATAAGCTGTAGTTGGCACTATTTTGTGTGCCCTACAAGCAAGTAGATGTTTCTATGAATCAAAAACGACCCTTAGGTAGTTAAATATTTAGCTTTCATTAGTTTGTGAGTTCATGTGAAGAAAAACCTTTTCTGTACTGGACCTAACTTATGCATCTTCCCCATACCCGATGATGACACAAAGAAAATCATGAGTTTAGGAGCTAAAAGTTTGCCGGTAGTCGTTGAGTCGGTTGAAGGTGACAGAAGAGAACCAAGTGTAATGAAGATATGCCACTGGAGCCCCATGTTCTACTCGGAACGTAATAAATGAATAAAGAATAATAGTAATGATAACAGAATGTGGAACATCCTCTCATATTTTGGAATTAAGTTTATGTAACTGTCTGCAAAACTCAAAATGTAAACGTAATTGGAATAAAACTTAACTGGTCATATAAAACTCACTCATTTGATGTCATTTTTAATGAGCTCACGGATAACAACATAATATTCCCTAGAATTTCATATTTATTTGGAGTGGCGAAAATTGTAGTATGACTTTGAACTATTAGTTCAATCATTAGATATACAGCTTAGTCTAGCCTGAAAAAAGTGAATTCTTTACAAAAATGTTGACTAAGATGAAATCTATTGATTTCTGTTGTTTAAAATATAAATACATTGATTCAATTTTAGATAATGCGTAACAGATTATGTACAGTGTTTTGAAGCATTAGAAATATGAATTAACTACATCAGAACGGTTTGAAATAAAGAGGTTAGGATATCTGTAATGAAAACAAAATTAGCAGATAATCTTTGCTTTTTATTTTACGTATTGAAAGATGATACTCGAATACTCTTCACCATGTGAAGTACATTTTTTTGCTAAACCTTTGCTAACGCACTTAAAAGTGATGTTTAATGTCTCATAGTTAAAAATAACCATTGAAAGTAAATATCGTCAGTTTCTGTTGTATACCGAGTGGAGCATACTGCTTCAGGTTTGAGTTTTGAAATTTCAATAATGGTGGTATTGTTTTTACGGAGTGAGTTTGCTAGCTCCTCACTCAACCTTTCATCTTTATCAGGCATACCATGGGCTAAGCGAGGTACAGTAGTGCCTCGGCAGGGGATCGAATTCCGATCACGTGAGTGACTGACCAACATTCTACCATTGAATCAATATTTGGAAGATTATTTCCGAAAGGAATTTCATATTTGTCTGTAGTATATTATTATGTCCGTTGGTGGCACAGCGGTTAGGATGCTCGCTGACCATGCACATGGTCCGGGGATCGATCCCTGGCCGACGCACTCCTTTACATCTCTAAGCCAGTGATAAAAGCTGATAAAGAGGAAAAGGTTGGGTATGAGGCTAGCAACCCCATCCTGTAAAAATAAACACTGCTACAGAAACTTCAAGCCTCTAGCTTGAAGCCCTTATGTTCCACTGGGCACGTGAAGGAATATAAAATAATATTATTATTGCTATTATTCTTTTGGGTTCTGAGTGGGACATAGGACTTCGAAAGTAAATCGTCATTTTTCCTCTCTGGCTAGCCCCACGACTGACCATAAACTCTTATCCCCTCCACGTCAAACTCGGACTCACGTTGAAAACATCGTTTCCTACTAGGATTCCACTAGAGGGCCTGGTGTCACTCACGGTCTGCTTGGTGTATGTCCGATCCATCTTCATTTTCCTTTGTATATTTTTTGGGCTATTGGTTCTGATTAATTCGTTCCCAGAGTTTCTTACTGCTCATTATTTCTGGTCATCTAATCTTCTGTATGGAGACAACAAAGGCAGCTACTGATAAATTTCTGAAATCAGTTAGAAATGCTTTTTAGAACGCGCACTACCAGTTTCTGACTCATACAGAAGACTTGGCTCAACATTTGTGCTGAAAATCCGAATTTTGTTCTTTATGCCGAGGGCAACCGATGTCCAAACTGATTTCAGCACGATGAATATCTGTCTTGATTTCCGATTCTAGTTTTGACATCATCGGTGACGCCTTTAGTGGAAACGATGCTGCCTAGACAATTGAAAGGAATAATCTCCTTCAAATTTCTCCCCTTGATAATGATCGGTGCTTGTTGCTGTCGTCGGTTGGTTATCATCATCAACTCCTTCTTCTCTATGTTCACTTGGAGTTCTGTCTTCTTTGTCTGCTGCCTCTATCAGCTTTTGGGTCTTCGAATTTATGTGATATCAGACATAAATCATCCGGGGAATCCAGATCTTCTAGAGTCTGATCATCGATTCAACGTATGCCCGTCTTCTCACCCCCCCCACGCACAGTGTACCGCACAATCTAGTCCACTGCAATCAGGAATATCATCGGTGATAGTAAGCAGCCTCGATTTACTCCTGTCTTCACTTCAAAGGCTTCAGCGAGTTTTCTATTGTGTATCACTTGACATGTGGCATTATCACCAGATCATAGCATTTAGATGAGGCTGACAAAGATTTCCGGTACTCCACAGTGTTGAAGGCATTCAAATATACCAGCAAGATGTTTGTTAATAAAACGTTTGAATTCTTCTCGATTATGAATGATACCAAGGTAATTCAATTACACTGACGTGATAACTCTGGTCAAAACTAAGCAACAGCTATCCTTTAATAAAAACAGGTAGAAGAGAGATAAAAACTGAAGTTATTTGACTGGTAGTAAAAAAGGTTATTGTAGTCTATTACTACTACTGTTACTAAGCTGGAGAAATATTTCTCAATTTAGGAACTTTTAGTCTCTAGGCATCGGTGGCACAGTGGTTAGGACGCTCGCCGACCATGCACATGGTCCGGGGTTCGATTCCCGGCTACTGACGCACTACTTTATCTCGCTAAGCCAATAATAAAAAAGTTAGTGTAGAGGAAAGGTTGGGCATGAGGCTGGCAACCCCATCCTGTAAAAATAAACACTACTACAGAAACTTCAAGCATTTAGCTTGAAGCCCTTTTGTTCCACTGGGAACGTGAAGAAATAAAAAAAAATTAACCGTAAGCTCTGGATCAGTACGAGAGATTTTGATGAACGCAATAAGCTTTTCGATTTTAATTCACTTATTTCTGTTAATGCATATGCTAAAGGTGCATATGGTGCGATTGTTTACTCATGACTTATTCATTTTTCACGGTTGGCTGTTAAATGTCTCATTATTCTGTCAGTTAAATAAGATTTCGTCTTTCAGTTAACGCGTTTCGCTTACTAGGTACTAGATCCTTGATGTATTTCCCACTAAATCTTCACTAGTACATACGTCCTATTCGGAACCTAAGGGAGTAATAGTAATAATAATAATACTAAAATGAGATATCCGTTAATCATTCAGCGTTGAAAAATCAGCTTATTTTCAAAGTGTACTGGTATTTTTATTGTCTCATTTTGTTATCATGGTTTATAGCTACCACCGATTTCGCCCATTAAGTACTTTTTTTTAAAATGTGTCTTTTTATTAGTCTGTTTACCTGTATTTATGTAAACTGTCTAAAACTGATTTACTGTACAAAAATCGCTTTTAATATTGATTTTCAAAAATGTTATTTCAAAGTTTTATTAAAGTAAAAATAGGAGGAAATACAAAACTTAGGTGAAGTCAGAATTTCTTAATCCTAATCTTAGAAAATTTTTAATATACGCCTACTTCAATGAGTTCATCCCCGTGGCTGGGTTTTCAGCTGGCTCACATCGTAGCTTGAAGGTCCTGGGTTCAATCTAATGTGTGATTACAGGTTCGTACTGATGAAGAGCCCTAAAGAAGGACGAAGCAACTGTCCATTAGTCTTTAGTTTTGAGTGTGGCGGCGGTAGAATGTTCATCAATCATTCAGAAGGTTTGGGTTCGAATCCCTGCCGATGTGCTATCAAACTTCGCCTAACCGGTAGCAAGCCTGAAAAATAGGGAAGGTTTGATGTGACATTGGCAACACCACCACTATTGAAACTTCACAGATCAAATTTGAAACTCTGTATTCCACTTGGAACTCAAAGAAATGAAATGACTCAAACTAGCACAGAGTTGATGCATTAGATTAATTTTTTGATTTTTAAAAAAATAATAATGTGAACTATCAGTTTCACGTAAAGCACTTTAGCCATGCAGTTTTGTGGAAACAGTTGTACAAATTATCGTCCTTGTGAAAAAGGTAGAGAAAATTGTGATGCAAGTAAATGGCATGACAAATAATAATATCAAGAAATACGTATGTCTCTGAATACTGTGCACGTTACATGAACAGCTAATATAAATGTGAAGTTTTATTTCAGTGTAAACATGAAGTCTATTAGGAAGGTTCACATAAAATATATCCACAGGATCGATTTGATACTGTTCTCTAGATTAAACCAGGCTGTAATCACTGGTAATATGACATCCAGTTTGATACCAAAGGTTCTGTAAATGCAAATTCAAGTCGTAAGCATGAGAATATTGACAGAATACTATCTTTCCAACAAATATTCACCATATTAAATTCGGTGATATAAAACAAGATGGAAGTTAAACATATAAACTGAAGCCACGCTGAAATATCTGTAGAATCGAATATACCCTGATTCTTTTGTATTTTTTTTGAATTTGAAATTTCTTGTTTCGGTAATTTAGGTAAAATATGTGAGAAGACAGAAGAGCAGTAAAAAAATGTTTCGCCTCAGTATGGAAGCCTTCATCAGTGCTGACTGACAACCT